TGGTCGAAAAAGAGAACCAACTCCTGCAACTAACAATCATAATAATTTAAAAGTTATTTTCAATTAAAAAAGAAACTGTGTAGGATGGGCAATAATCCTTGTCAGCAATTCATCCATCAGAAGATTAATAACCAGAATATATAAAGAATGCAAAAAGGTAACACCAGAAGAAGAAACAATCCAACCACTGAAAATGGACACAAGAACTGGGCAAATACTTCTCGAAATAGTTGACGATGTCCAATCATTGCACGAAGAAACAGTCAACATCTTTAGCCATCAGGAAAATATAAATTGAAACTACACTGATATTCTTTTTACCCCAGTCAGAATGGCATCAACAGCAAAACAAGCACAGGGAAAAAAAAAAAGCAGCACCAGAGAGGATTCAAGGGCGGGGCAGGAACGTATATTCATAGACTATTGCTAGGAATTTAAACTAGTATAACTGTGATGGATATTGACATAGAGGGTCCTCAAAAGGCCAAAAATAGAAATGCCACGTGATCCAGCTGTAGCATCCCTGGATATGTGCCCAGAGAAATCAGCATCAGCATCTGCTATTGATCTGCATACATCTGTCTATCATGCACTCTTCATACTGGCCAAGCCACCAGCCTAGGTGTCTTTGATGGTCTGAGTGAGAAATAGCTCCCTTAGGCCTAGGTGTTTGAACACTTTGTCCCTAGTTTGGGGTGCTGTTTGGGGTGAGGGTAGGAAGCGCAGCCCTACTTGAATAAGCATTTCATTGGGGAGCTAACTCCAAGAGTTTTAAAGCCCTGGGCCACTTCCATTCATTCTCCCTGCTTCCAAGGCTTGTGATTGAAGATGTGCACACTTAGATTCTTGCTCCTGTGCAACTATGAAGCTTGCTGCTCTGCCTCCCTGCAGGGGTCTACTTTTATATCTCCTGAACTCTTCCTTCTATAGATAAGCCGCTTCTGCTTATGGTGTGTTACTACAGAGACAGAAAAGTAACTAATACAATCTCTATCAAAGGATGAAAACATAGTTTTTTTTATTAAGTTAAATCTATAGATTGCTTTTACACAATATTAATTCTGCTGTTGTTTGTTTCTTTTTTATTGATTTTTACTGAGCTCTACATTTTTCTCTGCTCCCCTCCCTATCTCTCCCCTCCCCTTCCACCCTCTCCCATGGTCCCCATGCTCCCAATTTACTCAGGAGATCTTGTCTTTTTATACTTTCTACTTCCCATGTAGATTACATCTATGTAAGTTTCTCTTAGCGTCTGCATTGTTGTCTAAGTTCTCTGGGATTGTGGTTTGTAGGCTGGCTTTCTTTTCTTTATGTTTAAAACCACATATGAGTGAGTACATGTGATAATTGTCTTTCTGGGTCTGGGTTACCTCACTCAAAATGATGTTTTCTAGTTCCATCCATTTTCCTGCAAAATTCAAGATGTCATTATTTTTTTCTGCTGTGTAGTACTCCGTTGTGTAAATGTACCAGATTTTCCTTATCCATTCTTCAGCTGAGGGGCATTTAGGTTGTTTCCAGGAAGAAAATGTAGTTTAAATACTTATTTATTATGTATCCAATATTCTGTCTGCGTGTATGCCTGCCGGCCAGAAGAGTGCACCAGACCCCATTACAGATGGTTGTGAGCCACCATGTGGTTGCTGGGAATTGAACTCAAGACGTTTGGAAAAGCAGGCAATGCTCTTAACTTCTGAGCCATCTCTCCAGCCCTGAAAATGTAGTTTATAGAGACAACAGTGTGTCACCAGTCATAAGGAAGAATGAAATCATGTCATTTAGAGGGAAATGATGGAACTTGAGATGGTCATGTCGAATGAGGTAAGCCATCTTATCATCAGGAAGGTAATGGTCCCATGTACTCTTTCACGTGGCTTCTAAAGAATAACCAAGTTGGAAGCTGGAGAGATGCTCAGCAGTTCAGAGCACTTGCTACTCTTGCAAAGGAGCCCAGTTGGGTTCCCAGAACTTATATCAAATGGCTCAGCACTGCCTGTAACTCCAGCTTCAGGTGATCTGACATCCTCTGGCACCCATATGCACAAAAGCAGATGCACACGTACATGCAGGTGTATACACACACAATAGTAATAGTAATAATAATAAATCAATCATTTAAAGGGCAATTAAATTTAAATAAATAAATAAGACTTGGAGATAGAAAAGTCCTGCTACGAAGAAGGATTGCTGGAGCGAGCTGCAGCCGTGAGAGAGGAAAGTAGGGGCAGCGAATTGTGAGCAGAGCATTTCTGTCTGTGTCTCTCACCATTATTTTGTGCAGCTAAACGTACCTTAGAAACAAAACAACAAAAAACTTCTGAAAGAAGAATAAACTTTACCCAAAGAGAGGTGCGGCTTTGCCCTGGGTTACTAGAGGGATTCTGGAATGTTCCCCCCTGAGAGGAGTATCTTCATTTTTCTGGGCCCTTGCCACAAGGTAGTCCTTGTGCCTTAGGATAAGATTTGGGAACACTGTGTTCGGTTCTCACATCCGGAAGAACTAGACAGTTTAGTCCAAAGCTCAAGCGGCCGGTGGAGACCGAAGGTCATCGGCGGAGGCGGGTTGTGGCTGAGCCAAACACCTGAGCTTCCTGCCCGTGAGAACACAGCAGCTCTGGTCCAGATTGTCAGAACGGCCACACGCCTCCAAAGATGGCGTAGGTCTAATGCTGGACGGCTTCCAGACGCTCTTCCTGAGCACTGTTCTTTTGCTTACTCCTGGTGTTTAAAAATACACATTAAAATGTCTTTACAGCTCCAAATGTGCTTCAAAAATCCTATTGCTATTGTTATTTACTCTATTTTGTAGGTCCACCTCTATTTTCTATTTGTTTGCGTCCTAGGGATGTGTCCGTTGCTTCTGTGTGGACCACTGTTGCCCTTAGCATCCCCTCAGAATCCTCAGTTCTCTAAGTTTGTAGTCTTGTGATCTATTTTATTTCTGATTTTAGTAATTTGAGTCTCCTCTTTATTTGTTTTTTTTGTTGTTGTTGTTGTTTGTTTGTTCGTTGTCAGTGTGTTTAGTTTTACCCATTGTTTGGACTTTTAAAAGAATCAGCTTTTGTCTTCACTGTTTCTCCACTTTATAGTCCATGGACTCTCATTCCTTTTTTGAATATTTATTTATTTATTTATTTATTTATTTATTATGTATGCAATATTCTGTCTGTATGGATGTCTGCAGGCCAGAAGAGGGCACCAGACTTCATTACAGATGGTTGTGAGCCACCATGTGGTTGCTGGGAATTGAACTCAGGACCTTTGGAAGAGCAGGCAATGTTCTTAACCACTGAGCTGTCTCTCCAGCTCTGGACTCTCATTCTTTCCTTTATTGTTCCTGTGGGGTCCATGAGGGTCGCACAAAGATGGGGGACCGACCACCAAACTTTATTCCAGGAAAAAAAAATAAAAAATTAAAAAAATAAATCTCCATGAGACACAAAAAGCTTGTCAGCTAGCTGAGCCCACAGCCGGAGATGGACTTGTAAGGCTGTGGTAATGGGCTGTTCCGAACTCCCCTTTGTATAGCAAGAAGCAAGCACTAGTTGTGAACGAAAGAATTTTTTACAATCTCGAGGTAAACCTCAGATACAAATTGCCTTTTTAAAAAAATTTTTCCATTAATAAGGTTTTTTTGTTTGTCTGGTTTTTTTGTTTGTTTTTTGTTAAACTAGTTTAGCAGGTGAGGGTATGGGAAAATGTACAACCAGAACGTCAGGCACATCCCATCATTTAGAAGTTAACTCAGCTCACATCAGTTGTTGGTCATGAGTGGCCAGGGGATTATCTAAAAGCTGACTCTTAGTTTGCAGAGGGCACTTCAACCTTGCAGCCAGAGCTATGGGTTGCAAAGCAGAGTAACCCACTGTTAGCAGTTAATCCTTAAACTGCTGAGAAAGCTGCTGACAGCCTGCTCTCGTTCTCCTAGGCTCACAACTTTGTATTTCTTTATTTCTACATTTTAATTTTTGGAATCCACATTTCCATATTCTTATTCTTGGACTCTTCCGTTTCCTTCTTTTTTTTTTTTCTGCTCTGAACATGGTTTACTGTTTTCCTCTGAACTCTTGAGGACAGCTTTGACTAGCCGCCTGTGCTTCCTTGTTGTCTAACACAGGTATTGGAAACTATAAACACCCCTCTTCACACTGACTCAATAGGCTCCTGGGGCCATACACACCCCTCCTCACACTGATTCAAATATGTTCTGCAAGGTCATATGCTTTGGTTTCATTCACAATACTAATTCCCAGTATGAATTCCTTCTTTATTTTATCCGTATATTATTTAGAAATGTGCTGTTTGGTTTTCAAATGTTTGCTACACTCCTTCATTTCCCCCACCCCGGTTCTTTCCAGTTTAATTCCATTCGGACTGGAGAACAGCCTGTTGGTAAAGGCAGTCCCATGGACTCTTTTCACCCTCTGCTTGACCACATAATAATGGGTCAGGATGCCTCATCACTGAGCTATAAACACCCCACACATCCTGTTCTGGGATTATGGCACTGTGTGGGGGTAGCTTTCCGGGCTTCAGAGTCAATGTGTATTTTTTTCTGCTTAAGCAGGTTTTTACAGGTTACAAATTACTAAGGACATAAAATAACCAAGTGTCTTCATACACAGCGCTACACCCCTCTGCAGAACAGAGGGTTCCTTCTGCATGTCTGTACTGAGCCATCTCAATGGCCTCTGGAATTCCTGCTCAATTTTAGAAATGATAAAACCTCTTGGAATGGGGCTGAGTGTCCTTTACAGCAGCTCTCTAGATCAGCGTTGTGCACAGCTCTGACTGGGACTTGGCTGATGCAGAATCAAGTGCTCAGGAGCTAGGAAGGGTTGTTAGTGTTTAAAGAAGGCATTTTTTTTCCTGCCTAGGCCCACATCTCAAGACACTAGCTGGTCCAGAGACTTTGAACTCAAACCCAGTCCCCTGCTCTCCCTCCCCCACAGTAGCATGCACCACCCCGAGTCGTTCCATTGACGACAAAAGCCTTGAGAGTAAATGACCACGTCATTCAATGTCTTCATTCAATGCCTCCCTCAAAGCAAACCGTTCACAGCACTGGGTTGGAAGCCAATCACCATGCAATAGGGTAAGCTGTCCAGGACGAGCAAAGCACTGGGGAAGCTCAAACCAAGAATCACACACAAGGTGTGTGATTAATTATTAGCAAATCTAATAATTCTGGGAAATAGTCGTCGCTGGTGAAAATATCTAGTCCCTCAATAAGCCAGCGGGCACCTAGCAGAGCCTAACTCACTGTAACTTAGTAGAGATGGCTGCGTGATCACACACTTTCATCCGTAGCCAAACTGCTTGGAGACCATGTTCCTATTTAGCAAGGTTTTCTGATCAAAACTGGGAATGCAACCACATCCTCGATGTGTCCAGTGACCAACAAAACAAGGACTCTTCAGTCTTCCCATGGAGAGCTCTCCACAGAACTCCGCCATCCATGAACATCCCTAATGAGGACAGAGGGACACTCTTTGTCCAGACCAAGACATCCCACCGATGTCATCAAGCCACAGGTAGAAGTCCTCACTGCTTCCCGGAAGCAAGGCCAGGCTTTCGTCCTCCACCATGAAGATCGCTGTCTTCTGCTTTACCACTGTCTTCCTCACAACTCAAGTTCTACCAGGTAATGAAATAAACTCGGCAGGGGCTCAGGTAAGAGGAGGTTATGGGAAAACAGTGCTCCAAGGCTAGTCACTGTCACCTGAGGCCCAGAGGGCGTTCTCACAAGAAATCCAGAAGACCCCCTGGTGGCGAGACCTGTAGTCAGGGGACTCATCCATTTTCCTCTGCAACTGTGGTTAGAGAAAAGGAAGCCGAGGGTGTTCCAAGTGCTTGTAACTCCTTTACTCTGTTGTAAGTGTGAGTTTAGCTGGACAAAGTTACTAGCAGTTTCTAGATCTGGGTAACTAAAACACTGGAACAATTCTAGTAAACCTTTATCTTCAGAGCTCTGTTTACTTCAGAAAAGTTACTGATCTGAGCCACAGACCTCCTAAGAGTTCTGTAGGCCCAGGGAGGTGGGAGTCGTGACCTTGCAAGGATTTCTGCGGGCTACAAAATCCTTACTCCAGGCTACAAAATCCCTACTCCAGTGCATGTCTGGCCTTCAACATGAACCATAATAAGTGGCATTTTGCATTTTGTGTAGGCTCCTGACTCTAACCTGGCCACGAAAAAAAAATCAAGAAATATCCCAGAATTCCCAAAATTGTAAAGCCAAGAGACAATAAGTGACATGTTGCTTTACGGCAGAAGGGAATTCATTCTCATCATCTCTGGTGCCTGCTGGACCTCCAGGGATGGGTGGGGTAGAGGCAGAAAGTGGTCTTTCATCTCACTTTGCCTGCGTGCATTATATGGGCAAAGACATACTAAAAATGTCCAGGAGAAAATGTCATGGAAGGTATGATTATCTTGATAAACCACATTTCTTCTCTAAGTACGTGCAATTAAAGACTGCTGACTGCTAGCTAGTTCACAGTGCTTCATGCTGGGGGAGGGAGGGATGGCTTACAGCGCAAGTCCAACTCTGGTTCAGGAAATACAAAATGGAAAAGGGGAAGATGGAAGTGGGAAGAAAATGGAGATCAAGAAGCAATTTAGCACTATAGATATTTACCAGGCACCGACTCCCTGCCAGACTGCAAGTCCACAGAGACCAAAGTCATGTGACGACCCTTGGTTCTCAGAAAGCCATACGCTCACTACTCAACTCTGGTTGCTACACGAGAGTCTATCTCAAAAATCTTTTGATTTAAAAAAAAAAACCACCTTGAAATTTGGAATACCTATTCTGATTTTTCTGTGTTTGTTTGCGGGTTTATCCATTTTGGTTTGGTCTGGTTTGCTTTTAAGAATGTGGCAGGGGTTCTCATAGCCCTTGAACTGGTTGGCTACGCAATCAGGGGTGACTTTGAGTTTCTGACCCTCCTGCGTCCACCTCCCATGTGCTGGAATTCCAGGCATGCACTACCACGTGCCAGTGGCGCTGGGGATCAAACCCTCACAAGGGCTAGGCAAGTACTCTAGTAGCTGAGTTATGCCCCCACTCCCTCCTTATTCGTGTTCTCATTGCCATTCAGACAAAAGAGAGGACATGTGATGTCAGAAAATGAACAGAGGAAAGGCCATTTCTTGTCACTGAAACAGAATTAGGGACAATGTTAAAGGAGCCGTAGGAAGGGTGGGTCCTCTCCACAGTCCTCAGGAACACATTTGCAGTCCAGTTGAGCTTTGGGAGGTAAGATTAGGAGAGAGGAAGAGAGAGAAAGCAGAGAGGGAAACAGATTGGGGACGTAAGTTGCAGCTCTGTCCTTATCACCTCCAATACCAGGTCACTAGATGATCTACTCCTTTCCCTCAGTCCCGTCTCCCCCTCGACCGGTGCTTTGGCAGGACGATCGGTGGATTTGCTCTGAGTCTAGATTCTGCTTGCATTCCGAGTACGTAGAAATGACAGGGGTCCGCACTATGAAATGGACAAGGTTTATCAGCAAAGAAGTCGTTCTACAAAAGTAAAACCAAGTTTTCCTTCAATTCTTATGAGTCCGCATGACATGTCACATATGAAATTTTGTAATTTCTCAGCTGCACAACTAAACAGCAAAACACATGTGAACTGAGGGTGACAGCAAATTCCCTCACCTGTTTGCCCCAGACTGGAAGTAACCGCAGCTCAAGCCATTGGTCCACGGCCATTTCCTGAGGTCCCCCTGTAAGCCAAGACTTGAGCCTGGCTCTAGGGTGCTCTGAGATTCCAGCCCTTGAGCAATTCATCACCACACAGCGAGGTCAGCTGAGGACACAGCCATGGTAAGAAGCAAGAGGTAGTGAGATGGAGAGACACTGGGTGATTTGGCACAGTGGTCGACCTCCCTGGGGTTCCTCTTCGAAGCTAAAGTGAATCTTCTTGCTACCACGGGACAGCCTAATAGAAAGGGAACCTGTAATTACAGCAATTGGCTAATGAAGAGATGCAAAACCCAGAAACCAATCAGTTCAGATTTCAAATGGCTTCTACCTGGCACTCAATACTTAAAAGGATCATTGGCTTAAAATCAAACCAAACCAAACTATACCCTTAAAATTATTTCCCAGTATACATTCTAAATAAAAATGGGTTACTGCTTGCATGCTTGATCTTCACATTCATTAAGTAATTTTCTCTATAAGCCACAAAAAGTTAAATCAATTTAAGGCATTTGGATGTCAGCTCACTTCAATTTAATAGCCCATACTGATTAGAAGGGATTCAAGAATTGGTGTTGGTCAAATTAAGAGAGGAGCTAGGAGTGTGCTTGATAAAACACATTGTATGTATGTACAAAATTATCAAGGAATAAAAAAAAAATAAAATGTTTGCTGGTATAGAATGAAGAAAAATAAAGCATTAGCCTTAAAGGAAAAAATGCTTTGATGCTCAATGAAAAAGTTAGGAAATTGTCAAAGAAAACATGGGTTTTGTTGCTCAGAATAAAGCCACTTCTGACAGCATACATGTGCATGTGACCCACCTCTGCAGCAGTCCGATCACAGACCACAAAGCAAATACTATTCAGTGTTTCAAACAAGTAAATCTGTCTACCTCTTAAGAAGCTGAATGATTTGCTCTCAATGCGATGATTTCTAAAGCAGAACTGTAGCCACAACCAGCGTCAGAGAGGAAGGAATGAATGATGCAGCACCAAGGTGCCACAGATATCAGTGAGAACACGTGCGTCCATGAGAGGCATAGACATGTGGCCCCCTTCCCCAGAAGAGTATCATCTCTCTAGCAATGTCCTTGAGATATATTTTCTTTAAGGTCAGTATTTTAGTTTTAATTCTGACAGACAAATATGTAAATATGGGAGATAGATAGATAGATAGATACGTACGTAGGTACATACGTACATAGATACATTGATACATGGATGCATAAGTAGATAGGTAGATACATATATAGGTAGATAAAGGTAGACACATAAATACATTGATACATAGTTAGATAAATAATGGATAAATGGCATATAATGTCTAGAGTGTTATCCAACAACCTAGAAGAATAAGTGGTGAAGAAAGGGTATTAAAAACTTTCTTGCTGTTGTTGTTAGAAGACAGGAAAGAGAAAGAAGAAAGAGCTGTGTGCATGCCTAGAACTCTTGAAGCAGAGAACACTACTCAGTCTCAGCCTTTGTTACTTAGATATACCCAATATTGCCAGATTTCTCAAGGAGAAATTTCCAAATGTTTTTGTGACATCGGGGTTTTAAGTGTTGGTGTAAGAAATCAAATAACAATGAACATACATACAAAGTCATTTCCAGATGTGACCCCTACCCAGTCTGTAGACTAAGTAAAAATTCATCAAGTCGAGTAAATAGTTACAATAACCCTCTTCTGTATGCAGTCAGGGGCAAGTTCAAGGAAATCTGTGAACGCCCAAATGGTGTTTGCCAATCATATTGCCTTGAAACGGAAGTCTACGTTGGGAGGTGTTTAAATAAACGACCGTGCTGCCTGCCCATGGGGAATCAACCCGGAGTTGAGAACGTCACACCCAAGAGCTGAAGCCTTTCGCTCGGATCCCTCACAGCGTGTTTTATCCCTGCTTCTCTCTCTCCTCTCTTTCTCTCTTCTGTGTTTTTGAATAGGTTCTTGTTCATTCCTCAATAAGTAATAAAGCAAAATAGCGGAGAGAAGGCTGTGTTTTTAAGTTATTATTTTATGTGTGCGGGTATTTGGGCTGTATGTCTGTTTGTGCACCACATGTGTGCCTGGGGCAGGTGTGGGCCAAAGATGGTGTTGAATTCCCTGGAACTGGAGTTACAGACGGTCGTGAACTGTCATATGGGTGCTGGGAGTTGAACCTTGGTCCTCTGAAAGAGCAGCCAGTGCTCTTAACCGCTAAGCCATCTCTTCCTGAGACGGCTGCTTTTTAAAGTGTGTGTTCTGGGACTGGAGAAATAACTCAGTAGTTAAGAGCACTGGCTGCCCTCCTAGAAGACCTGGGTTCAGTTCCCGGCACTTGCGTGGCATTTACCTGCAACTCCAGTTGCAGAGGATCTGATGCGCTCCTCTAGACTGTGTGGGCACTGCATGGATGTGGTGCACAGATGTCCATGCAAGCAAAACGCCCATACAAATAAAGAGAAATAAAATATTAAAGTTTGTGTTCTACCTCATGTTTGACTGTGGTTGGGTTCTCAGTGTGTCACATCCTGGCCTAGGTGAACTCCTGGTTCTCAGTGTTCCCTGCGGAGTGCGGAAACCAGGCTCACATCCACTGCCTTTGTTCAGCATCTCAACCAACCCTTCTTTACCCTTTATCTGAGTCCCTTCTCCCTTAGGAAAAATGCCCTCCCTCTCACGGAAACTTGCAGGTTCTCGCTCCCTGTAAAGGGAATCCACAAAGCAGAAAATCTTTCCCCAGCCAGTCGGACATCACTAGGAATGACTCGGACATGAGGAGAATGCACAGAATTAAACACATTTGCTTCAGCACCTCTTTCAAACACTGTGTTCCCCAGCTCACCGCTCTCTCCACCTTAGAAAACACTCATTGGTGTGCTGCACACTGGGGAATGCAGATCTCTTACCTGTCAGTTCTGTGGGCGGGATGCTTAGTGTGGACTACAGTGGGCCAGAACCACGATCTGGGTGCTTTCTGGGAGCTTCACTGGTCCTTCCTCCATTTTTACCTCAGCAATGGTGGCATACCAGTCACGGCTCCTCCTTTTTGTCTTTAAACCCAGCAATCCCAAGTTGAGCTTGGCTCACACTCCATGATCCATTCATCCTTGGCCCCCATCTCACGTGCCGCAGGACGTTTGTGGTTGCTTCTGCTCCAGCTGCATAAGCCAAGACCAGCTCCCCAAATTAAGGTTAAATGGGTAGTCACTTTGATTCTTACCGCGGTTTCTCCTTGTCAGACTAGATGGTGTGTTCATGCGGTACACTGAGTGGCTTCCATACATCTCCATATTGTGTGACCCAGGCACAGCTGTAGAACCAAGATCTCATTGTTAGGGTTTTCTTTGGGACATGAAGCTGCAAACCCTGCTTGTTGAGTGAGTGTAGATTCAAGATAGTTAAAGGTTGATTCCTAATTTTCTGAGAAACTGCCATACTGATTTCCAAAGTGGTTGCACAAGTTTGCATTCCCACCAGCAATGGATGAGTGTTCCCCTTGCTCCACATCCTCTCCAGCATACGCTATCATTGGTGTTTTTGACCTTAGCCATTCTGACAGGTGTAAGATGGTATCTCAGAGTTGTTTTAATTTGCATTTTCCTGATAGCTAAAGAAGTTGAACAAGTCCTTAAGTATCTTTTGACCATTTGAAATTCTTCTGTTGAGAATTCTCTGTTTAGTTCAGTGCAGCATTTTTTAATTGTGTTATTTAGAATTTTAATGTCTAATTTCTTGAGTTCTTTAGGTTTCTCAGAAAATTGGGAATCAACCTACCTCAGGATCCAGCAATACCACTCTTGAGAATATACTGAAAAGGTGCTCAATCATACTGCAAAAGCATTTGTTCAACTATGTTCATAGCAGCATTATTTGTAATAACCGGAACCTGGAAGCAAACCTAGATGCCCTTCAATGGAAAAATGGATAAAGAAAGTGGGGCACATTTACACATTAGAGTAAAACTCAGCGGTAAAAATCAATGACATCTTGAATTTTGCATGCAAATAGATGGAATTAGAAAACACTATCCTGAGTGAGGTAACCCAGACCCCCCAAAAATGAATATGGTATGTGGAGTAGATGGACTTTCTGTCTATGTGTTACTTTCATTGGTTAATAAAGAAACTGCCTTGGCCTTTGATAGGACAGCAGCTTAGATAGGTAGAGTAGACAGAACAGAATGCTGGGAAGAAGGCAATGAGGCAGATGCCATGATTCCCCTTCCTGAGACAGATGCTGGCTAGACTCATGCCGGTAAGCCACGACCTCGTGGTGACATACAGATTATTAGATATGGGTTAGTCAAGATGTGAGAGTTAGCCAATAAGAGGCTAGAACCAATGGGCCAAGCAGTGTTTAAATGAATACAGTTTCCATGTAATTATTTCGGGTGTAAACTAGAGTGCAGCCCGCCACTCCTTTTGCAACATACTAGCCATAAACAAAGGACATTGAGCCAATAATTCATGATCCTAAAGAAGCTAAGTAATAAGATAAACCCAAAGAAAAACCTTTATAGACTCACCTGGGTATTGGAAACAGACAAGATCACCTGACAAAACTGGGAGCCTGGGGGTGAGAGGGGAGTAGAAGGAAGGGAGAAGGGGAGGGTTGAGGAGAACTTGATAGAATGGGATATTTGAGATGGAGGAAGGACAGATATGAGAGAAAGGAAAGAGATATTTTGATTGAGGGAGCCATTATGGGGTTAGCAAGAAACCTGGCTCTAGAAAAATTCCCAGGAATCCACAGGATGACCCCAGTCCTGTAGTCAGACTGATGATTATCTTAAATATCACCATAGAAACTTTGTCCAACAACAGATGGAAACAGAGGCAGAGAACCACATCAGAGCACTGGACTGAGCTCCCAAGGTCCAGTTGAAGAGTGGAAGGAGTGAGAATATGAGCAAGAAGGTCAAGGCCATGAGGGGTTCACCCACTGAGACAATGTGCCTGAGCTAATGAGAGCTCACCAACTCCAACTGGACTGGGAGTGAATGGGCATGAGATCAAACTGTTCCTCTGAATGTGTTGACAGTTGGGACAGACTGAGGGGCCACTGATAATGACCCTGGGATTTGTCTCTACTATGCATGTAGTGGCTTTTTGGGATCCTATTCTCTTTTGATGTATACTTTGCTCAAATTGGATGTAGTAGGGAGGGCCTTGGACTTGTCACAGGGCAGGGTGCCTTGTCGTCTCTTAGGATACAGCAAATCTAAGTCTCCAAACATGGCGAACCCCAAGAGCCAGGACATGTTATCACCAAAGGATAAATAAGCATCGTGGTATCTCCAAAGAAACAGATATGCAGGGAATAGCATACAGTGTTCGGGAACATCTCACAGATATGAAGGCAACTGATTCTCAATAACGTGGACAAAAACATGCGGTGGAACAAAGAAAATCTTTGACAGAGTGGTCCAGGGAGCCATGACACACAAGGTCAGAAGTGACCTCCATCCCTTACTGAAAATGGGCCAACAAGCTAAATGTTAGCTCAGAAACAAAAAGCTACTAGACGATAATGGTGGAGAATTTAACAAGTTGAGTAGACAGCAGGGTTTTGTTGTTGTTGTGTTTGTTTCTGTTGTTGACTCACACCCCAAAAGCAAAGGCAAAAAGAGAAACTATACAAACAGAATAATAATCAGGCTAAAAAGCATCTTTGCCTCAAAGGAAACAATCAGCAGCATCAAAGGACAACCTGCTGAATGGGAAAAAATGTTTGCACACCATTTATCTGATGAGGAAGTGATATTCAGAATATATCAGGAACTCAATATGCAGCAAGAAAATCTGATTTTTTTAAAAGAGGAAAAGTTATCTGAATAGCCCTTTCTCAAAAGAGAGCACACAAATAGTCAAGAAGTATATGAAAAATGTAAGTGTCCAGAAAATGCAAATTGTGTTCATAATAAGGTGTCCTCTCAGCCCAGTTGGGATGGCTATTATCAAAAGGAAAAAACTCACAAAAGCCAAGGAGATTGTGAGGGGACATGACTCACACAATGCCAATGTGGATAGAAATCAGTACAGCCGAGAAACAGAGCTGAGTGGAGGCTGCTCAGAGTTCCAAACAGAACCACATGGCCCAGCAGTAGTGCAACTAGACAGAAATGTAACCGTATTTCCAAGAACCATCTATCTGCACTCAGATGTTCACTGCGACATGATCCATGTTAGCAGAGCAACAGAACACACCTAACTACCCGTCTTTGGAGGGATGAAGAAAATGTGATATCCAGATCACGAGCACAATAAAATAGTGTCCCATCATTTAAAAGGGACAAAACTCTACCATGGTCAGGAATGTGGGCAGAGCTGGAGATTAATGATGTTCTGTGAAACCAGCCACAGGAAGACAAGCACCACGTTATTCCAGTCTGCATTGTTCTCTCCGTGACGTAGACGCTACCCCAAACCGGTGACTCTCTAGTGAGCTCTTCTCTCATGAAGTTTTGGAAGATGTCTGAACATCATGTTCATCTGTGACAGCATTGGTAGAATAGGAAATGTATGAAGTGACATCAACCAGGCACAGAAATGCAAATCCAGTGAGCTCTCACTCGTTAGTGGAAGCTTAAAGGAGCTGATGATATATGAGAAGAGAGGAGACAGCCACCCCTGGAGTTCACCTGGAGCAGGCGATGGCGAGAAGAGAGGAAGTGGAGAATGGGGCCGAGACAATACCAGTGTGGGGAAAAAGCTCTAATGCTATACAGTTTGCAATATTTTAATGTATCAATTTCTGAGACTATCATATATGTCTATGATGTATTTTAATCATATCCATCACTGCTACTCCCTCTGACTCCTCCCAGACCCACCTTTCTTCCCTATCCCTTAATTCCCTTTCCCCTCCTCCCTCTAACTCCTCCCAGATTTACCTCTCCTCCCTATCCCTCCTCTCCCTTCCCTCTCCTCCTTCTAACCCCTCCCCCCTCTAACCCCTCCCAGATCCACCTCTCCTCCCTACCCTTCCTTTCTCTACCATCTCCTGGTATGGAAGGTGATGTATGCTGTGACTATGTTTTATTGCTATCTGTTAATAAAGAAGCTGCTTTCAGCCAATGACTTAACAGAGTAAAGCCAGGCTGAAAGAGAGAGAGAGAGAGAGAGTTGGCAGAGTCAGAGAGAAGCCATGTAGCTTCAGACACACCAGAACCTTACTTACTGTTAAGCCATAGCCCTGTGGCAATGCACAGATTAATAGAAATGGGTTAATTTAAGGTATAAGAGTTAGCCAGAAATAAGCGTAAGCTATTGGCCAAACAGTTTTGCAATTAATACGGATTTCTGTGTGATTATTTTGGGAGTCTGGGCGGCCAGGAAACGAGCTAGCAGCCTCCCCCAAGAGCCTCCTCCCTCTAACTCCTCCCTCTCTATCCCTGTCCTCCCTAGCCACTCCCAGCTTTGTGTCTTCTATTTCTTTCTTTTTCGCAAGACACACCCATAGGTTCAATCATGTCAAGAACATATACAACATGTAGCAAACAGTTTTAAGCCCAGCACTCGGGAGTCCGAGGCAGGTGGATCTCTGTGAGTATAAGGCCAGCCTGGTCTACAAAGAGAGTTCCAGGACAGTCAAGGCTGTCTCACAGAGAAACCGAAAACAACAACGAAGAATAACATTCTATGATGTTCTTCTCAGATTTAAAGCCCCTTCCTAAGAAGGAAACACATGCCTAGTGTGCAAATCTGGCCAAGGACCCAGAGTTGAGGAGCTCATGGGCCCCAGGAGTAAACTTATGCAACTATCTGACAAAAATACCCTGGTATCATATGGTCCTCTAAATGTGCATCTTTCTACCCAGAAACGTGGACCTCATTAGAGAAGATTCTTTGTGCAGTGGTGGAGGTTAACACAGAAACTCACAACTGGTCAGAGGGAAGAGAGTAAGTGACTGTGGAGTGCCACAAATAGGACACACACGAGGACACACACGAGGACACACACACACACACACACACACACACACACACACACACACACACCAAGGCTCAGGAATCACTGCAGAAGAAAGGAAGGAAAAATTCTACGAGCCAGAGCCAGAGGTCAGAGATGAGCAGGGCAAACCACTTCTTCTGTCCATGACAGGAACTGGCCTCATGGGCTCACGGCAGTGGTGATGTGCCCACGTAAGTCCAACACAAGATGGCGCCAGTCATCATTTTAGCACAAAGTGGGAAGGGGTTCGTGAGCACCCCACCCTAACTGAGGAGCTGTGGACAGCTGACAGCTTCTGGGGGAGGGATGAGTTTGTTTTCTTTAAAGTTGTGGTTCCTGGTAGGTGGGCCATGCTCTCGTGGATCTCCTCACACTGTAAGTGAACAGGCAGTGCAAAGGGAACACAGTGGGCTATTAGAAAAGGATATGCAATGGTTAATTAAACAGTTCAAAACACTAGGGGACAAGTGTTTGATCACGTTTGAGGAAAGGCGGTTGTTAAATATCCTAATTTAACTATTATATGCCGAGCACGAGTAGTTGAACCCAACACTGCCCTCCACAAACAGTAGCAAACATTATATGCCTTGTAAAAATTATCGTCATGAACTGTGTTTTCTGAAAAGAGAATTGGCTACAGGTGCTGACCCCTGGTGCAATCGAGAGCACATAGCAGAAGGAAAAGGTTAACCTCTTGGTTTTCTATCCTTAGGTTAATTTGTCACCAAATTTAGAAACTCTAAGGTTTGGAACTATTCCAACAAAAGCTGGTTTTCTTCTTTGCACGTTAAGCTTCACTGAGCAGAAGGAACCTCAGTCCCCCAGAAATGAATAAAAGCCCTGAGCATCAACATCTGACCACCTTCCTCACTGCCGGCCACTTAGCCATGAGACCCCATTCCTGCCTGGCTGTCCTCTTGCTGTTTGGGATGATAATGCCCAAAGGTAAGCGGGGAAAGGATGGCAGGATCGGGGCTTCCGAGGATGTCTGCTGAGGGGCTTTTTCCCCCATAACTCAGGCGTCAGCACATGGACTTGAGGATCCCAAAGTCCAGCATCTTCAGAACTGATGAGGTCCAAATTCAGAAAGATGAGTCCTAGCAACATAAAAAAGGGGCCCAAGAACTCCACCACGGCGGGGGGGGGGGGGGCCCCCAAGGCGAAAAACAGAGACCGAAAAAAAATTTGACAAAAAACTTAAGTCGAAAGACTTAAAAAAAAAATGGCTACCACCAGCACCCCAGTCTCCAAAGGAGTGTGAAGGCTAATTCATGTTGCTGAGTGGATGGAGATATAGAGTCCATTGAGGAGACGGGGGTGTAAACGCTAGAAGCAAATAAGAGAACTTGGGAACAGAGGAATTAGGGGAAAGGTGAAGATAATAGGAAGCGTCGACGTAAAAAATGCTAATTGTAAGGTTATAGGAAGCATGTAAGAGGCTGGTACAACCTCACAGCCCGCAATTCACACGTTTGAATGTTAGAATACAGAATCAAAATGAAAACCACTCCAGTCTCTTCCGACTGCTTCATGCAGACCCTGGTGAGAACTTAGAAAATTCATTCCCTGCTACTTTTTGGAAGGAAGGGGGATTGCTGAGTATGCCTGAGGGGCAGTGGGCTGCGCAGTAGTAACAGTGCTGCCCACCGCCAGCAGGATGCCCTCATCTCTCTGTTCTCACTGAGAGAGAGAGTCCTTGGCTCAGCTCTGAGATCCATTTAGAGCACAGCCAAAGCCTCTCTCTTGTGGATTTGGGCCTAATTTGGGAACATCTTCACATCTACCTGGCACAGTAGCTGCACTCTCAGAGAGGAGTTGATACAATTCCCGGCTCATTTCTTAGCCCTCATCAGAAAGTTTGACTGAGGCGGACAGACTCGCGGGGACGTGTGATGTAAAATACGACGGTAATTATTTGAATGTGGATAGCACTTTAGTGGTCCTGTCTGTCACTTTAGATAACAGAAGCCATGCTCACTTGAAGAACATGCTTCCACAAAGATCCCACGTGTGACCGCAACGCTGAACCAAGTTTCCCTTCCTCTGGGTCGCTGTTCTTTCGACCAATCCACATGGACATAAAAATGGCAGCTGATTTCTGCCAGACGTTAGCCTCAAGGTCTCATGACTGAGTAGTGAGGAGACTGGGGAGATTCTTTGCCATGTGTGGCAGCATTAAAGAACCCAGAGGGCACTCAGCTATGTGGAGTAAACCAGAGGTGTTGTTTCAGTAATACGAGGACCTAAAATAATAGAACTTGGAACACACGCTACAACGGTAGTTATCAAAGCCGGAGGCGAGGGGAAGCAGACTGAGGAGTTATCAAAAACTCAGTTGGACAATTTGATGTGTAAATTTTATAGATGAATTCTAAAACTTCCTGGCCATAGCTCTTAAAGACATGAGGATGTTGGGCCTCATGGTAAGTATTCTCATCATAATAAAATAAAGAGAATAGTGGAAGTCTGTTTAGGAGGACGGGAGAGAGAGCCTGCTGCAGAGCCGACAGGGAACCCGGAGGCCTGCATTGCAAGTGAGGGTCCCTGGCCCCTCAAGATCAGCTTTCCTTTGCTCTTCCCACATGGGTTGTCCCATGAGGACAGAGTAAACCGGAGTCATGCAGTTCTTCAGTAGAAGCAAGCACTTCACACGACCAGGTCTCTTGTGAGCCCATGATGTCAGAGACCCAGGAAAAGATCAAAGCATCTAATTTCCAGTGTGACCTTTTATTCTTCTTATTGTTTGGGAGCTTTATGCACGCCCACAATGTGTTTTGATCAAGCCCAACCCCCAACCCCTCCCCTTCAATTCTTCCTATTCCCCACCACTTTTCTCTCCCAGCGTCATGAGATTTGTTTGTATTTTTATTGTTTGTTTATTTTTGCTCCAGCAGCTGTTAATTGACATCGAGTGAGTATTCTTCTTATTGTTTGGGAGCTTTATGCATGCCCACAATGTGTTTTGATCAAGCCCACCCCCACCCCCTCTCCTCCAATTTTTTCTCTATTCCCCACCACTTTTCTCTCCCAGCGTCATGAGATTTGTTTGTAGTTTCATTGTTTATTTATTTTTGCTTCAGCAACTGATAATTGACATCGGGTGGGCACTTTGTCGCAGGCCTGGAGATGCTGTGGCGGCAGAAGGGAAGGTGGAGAGGGGAGTCTGTCTGTCTGCAGTGACAGCGGAGTGGGGTACACAGGAGAAGTGGGGAAGGCCAAAGCTGTTGGGGAAGCAAGTCAGGTCCAGGGCCACAGCTTATCGACACTGCAACCCGGATTCTGTGCCCTAAGCCCTTGTGTGCTTTGCTTTTAAAAGTCAGCTTCTGCTAAGTCAGCTTCTGCTAAGGACCGCAAGCAGATGTGTGTCTTTTCTGTGACACCTGCTGTCATCACCAGTGGAAAGAATGACTGACCATTGGTGGTGCTGGAAAGACAAGCTGAGGGCACTGACATGTAGCTATGTTCTCCTCAACAACCAAATGAATGAAGAAAACATGTGGATATAGGTGAAGGGAACTCTCATCCCTGAGAAGTCTCTCCATGCATGTACACAAAAAAAGCCATCGAGTAACTCAATAACCGTGTTCTTAGACAGTTCTGAAGGGTGAGCTGAGGCGAAGGTAGAAGGGTGGGTTGATTTTCTACAAAGTAAGTTTGAGTTAAGGACATATGCTTCTGATAAGGGTGCTGTTGAAACTACTTCTTGGGGGAAGGTATTGATGCCTTCAGTTCAGAGTGATTCACTAGAGAGGAAACTGAACAAGCCATTGCTAATCCAGTAGCGTTCCAAAGATACCTTCTCCATCGTGGTTACAGTCAACACTTCCATGCACTTACAAAGTATTGCCCAGGATGAGGACCATATCTCTAAATCCCACAAGTTAGCCTGCTCACTCCAAGGTGTATCTAATTCCAAACCCCTAACCTCTTTCCCTAAAAAAAGGACACTATTTCTGTAGAAGCATATGATCTTTCTGTGTAGACAATATTGTGTCTCCCATTCCAAAACCACCTTCTGGGGCTGTGGCTTCCTGCACACTTTCGACACTTTGAACATGATTTCACGATGTTGTCCAATTCCTTCCTGTGCAGGAAAAGCTGGCGTTATCCCTGGGGAAAAGCAATGCATTTTGTTGAAAGGCATGTGCAAAGACATAGCATGCACGTCCACGGATGACACCATTGGCGAATGCAATGATGAGAAAAAATGCTGTCGGAAATGGTGGGTGTTTGAACCCTACCCAACACCCATTCCTAGAGGAAAATCTCCTTAGAGGGGAGGAAACTGCAAGCTGTCAAGTTTCGGAAAGCATGGACAAGCTGTGTAGATTTCGGCTTAAGTACACTCACCTCCCTTGCCTGGAAATAAATGTCCTGATTCCTTTTTTTCTGCTCTCTCAAAGTCTCTTAAAAATCTCCTAGAAGTCAATAAAGGGACTGAGCGGGGAAATGCCCTCCCTTCCTCAAGATGTATTGGAACATCTCTGCTTAGTGTCCAACTTCAATAATTTTAAAACATGGCTTGAGAAATTATTTGGGATTTATCATAGCAATATTCTCCTTTCTAAATAATAATAATAAGCTAGAAGAAAATGTATGAGAACTTCATACCTTGAGAATATCTTAGCAAAATGAGCACCCAATAAAAGAGATCAAGATAAAACCCGGTGGTGGCGGCGGCACTCACCTTTAATCCCAGCACTCGGGAGGCAGAGGCAGGTGGATCTCTGTGAGTTCGAGGTCAGCCTGGTCTACAAGAGCTAGTTCCGGAACAGGCTCCAAAGCAACAGAGAAACTCCGTCTCGAAAAAAAAAAATCAAGATAAAACTTTAAACATGTAAAACAATGAAAATGAAGTATGCAATGTTTAATTGTCTTTACGGGAAAATAAACACTTTCTCTCATTTGCCTCTGAAAGGATAGCATTTTTCTGGACTGAGAATGTAGCTCAGAAAGAGAGCATTTGACTGACCCTGGCACGAACTAAATATAAATATAAATATAAGTATAAATGTCACTACTGATGAGATCTACTTGGAGTCTATGAGTAAAAAGGCTGTCAGTCATGTGATCTTGCTGACACTGCATTGAGAATTAGGCTGTAACCCCTACTGCCTCCCCCAAAATACAACCTCAAGAGACAGAATCTAAATCCGTAAAATCCCCAAAGATTATATTTCTTTGTGTCTGTCTCAAAAGGTTAAGAAACTCCTAAAACATACAGGATTCTGGAAGAAAATGACTTTCGAATTTCCTTACAACACATCTATTAACATAAAGGGTAATTTATCTGTGAAACTTTAAAACATGACAGACCATCTTACAGGCTATTATATGCAATAAAGTACTTAAGATAAACACACATGGCTTCACATAATAACAATGGATGCACAGGTAAAAAACAATTATGAACAAATCAGATACATCATAAATATTCAAAGTGAAATATATAAACGCATACCACTGTTATTGGTGATTGTGCGCTCCTCCTTTTAAAACTATGGTGGTTTAAAACAATCATGACAGACCCATGAAGTCTATTAACAAAACCATTAAGAAGACACTATGAATTCCCACTACAATGGCCACCGGAAGAGCCTAAGCAGTTGTGAGCTGCCTGACATGGGTGCTGGGAACCAAACTCAGCATCTTGATACAAGAGCAGCAAGTCCTCTGAACCACTGAGCCACCCTCCAGCTCCTCCCACTAAACATCTAGGGAGAAGCTAAAGTCTGAAATCAAAACTCAAAGAACAAATCTCTCTCTAAAGACATGCCAAAGCCCAGCGCCATTAAAATCCAAATGAATTAGTTCGTGGCATTGTCTTTCCCACACTGGAATTCAAAGTTTTCAATTAAATAGCTGAAAGCGTCAGCATCGGTTTTTGATCCCTCATCACAAAGATCCCCCGGTGGCTCGGGAAGCTTTAGCTAATTCAGTATTGAGTCTCCTGTGGCCTTCCTGTTTCATCTGAGCAGAGGTCTGATCTCCAAAATGTACAAAGAACTCAAGAAATTGGACACCAAAAGATCACATAATCTAATAAAAAAAAATGGAGTACAGACCTAAACAGAGAACTCTCCACAGAGGAATCTAAAATGGCTCAAAGACACTTAAGGAAATGCTCAACATCCTTAGTCATCAGAGAAACGCAAATCAAAACAACTCTGAGATTCCATCTTACACCTGTAAGAATGGCCAAGATCAAAAACACTGATGACAACTTATGCTAGAGAGGTTGTGGGGAAAAGGGAACACTTCTGCATTGCTGGTGGGAATGCAAGCTGGTACAACCCCTTTGGATGTCAGTGTTGCGATTTCTCAGAAAATTAGGAAACAACCTTCCTCAAGACCCAGAAATATCATTTTTGGGTATATATCCAAAGGATGTTCAATCGTGCCACAAGGACATGTGCTCAACTATGTTCATAGCAGCTTTCTTTGTAATAACCAGAACCTGGAAAGAACCTAAACGTCCTTCGATCGAAGAATGGATACGGAAAATGTGGTACATTTATACAATGGCGTGCTACACAGCAGAAAAAAATAACGACAGCTTGAATTTTGCAGGAAAATGGATGAAGCTAGAAAACATTGTTTTGAGTGAGGTAACTCAGACACAGAAAAACAATTATCACATGTACTCACTCATAGGTGGTTTTAAAACATAAAACAAAGAAAGCCAGCCTACAAACCACAATCCCAGAGAACTTAGACAACAATGAGGACACTAAGAGAGACTTACATAGATCTAATCTACATGGGAAGTAGAAAATAGAAAAAGACAAGATCTCCTGAGTAAATTGTGAGCATGGGGACCTTGGGGGAAGGTTGGAGGGGTCTGTGTGCTGCCGGGGTGAACAGATGTTTGCTCACGCACCTCCAAAGTCCATGAGCCACGCCTCACTGGCCTGAGCACAGTGCACACTTGGATCCCCTTTCCCTGCTCCACATAAGTCTATCTGCAACCCCAGGAACTACACAGTGAGAAAATTTGGCCAGAAATTGATGGGTGAATAAAAAACAACAAAACAAAACAAAACAAAACAAACAAATAAGCAAAAAAAACCCCTAGGGTAACTTTATAGCATTTAAACAGTGAAAGTAGAAACACGAAATAAGAACAAGTCAAGCTGTTGTGGAATATTCGTGAAGTGCGTTCTGTAACCGTTAAAATCATTTGTTTACCCTGTTCTCAAAGGAGGCTTGACATGACCACAGTATGGCATAGGCACACTGGAAAGGTTACGGTGGAATATAATTTGTACAGCTGGCATGCATTGTTTGCGCTGGGGGCCCGCATGCTAACATTGAACTCATCCAGAGATTAGCATGGCTCCTGTGCAATTAATATGCAGCAGTCACCGTAATTTCAAACTGTTGTATGGAAAGAATGGAATGGGGCAAACACTTGGGACAAAATTAGAAGCTAGAAATAGATCTGTGCTAGCTGCCATCCTATCATTCGAATTAAACACCTTGGTCATGGCAAATGATACAAGGAGACATTTCATTAGAGCCTTGCTTAGGGTTGGGCCGCCATCATCACGGCAGAGGGCATGGAGACAGATAGATAGGCATGGGGCTGGGGCAGAGGCTGAAGCAGACAGGAGAGCAAGACTGGGGTCTGGTGTGGGCTTTCACCCCCAGTGACACACCTCCTCCAACAAGGCCACACTTCCTAATCCTTTCTAAACAATCCCACTAGCTGGGACCAGACGTTCAAACTTATGAGCCTGCGGAGGCATTCTCACTCAAACCCCCACAAGATCCCAAGAAGGAGAAATTTGACCAAAAAACAAATAGACCAAAAAAAAAATAAACATTTTTTAATTGTAGGATTCTACAATCTATTTATCACTAGGTAGAGACTCTTATGCGTTTTTCTGGTTTTCAGATAAACTGTTTAAGAATGAGAATAAAAAGATTGAGTACGCTGGGTGAGCTGATATACACCTTTAATCCCAGCTCTGCGGAGGTAGAGGCAGGTGGCTCTCGTTGTGTTCCAGGCCATCCAGGGCTGAATGATGAGTTCAGGTCATCCAGGGCTGCACAGTGAGTTCAGGCCAGCCAGGGCTACAGAGTGAGAGACCCTGTCTCAAAAATAAATAGACAGTGTAGAAGCACAAGTTCACACTTGTGCTTGTCTGTTGTTAGCAATTTAATGTGAAGGCAAGGGAAGATGTAGAAACCTGTGGGGTAAGAAGGGAGGGTCAGGAGGGATCGGGTGGGAGAGGGGATGAAAGGGGAAAGGGCAGAAAGAGACAGCTGGAAAGGGGAGGCATTTTGGGGCAAAGGAAGCTCCCAGGAATCTATGAGAATTCTCAGCTAAGAATCCTAGCAATAGGTAAGGTGTAGCCTGAACTGGCCATCTCCTGTGACCAAGCAAGACTTTCAGTGGAGGAACTGGGACACCAACCCAGCCACATAACCTTCAACCTACAGTCTGTTCCGCCTATGGGATGTGCCGGGGTTAGGGTAGCACAGAGATTGTGTGAGTGGCCAGCCAATGACTGGTCTAGCCTGAGACCCATGCCGAGAGAGTGCACTCACCCCTCACAATGCCTGGAACACCAGGACCCAGGTGCTGGATGGTCCAGAGACTTAGAACAGAAGCAAACACAACTGGAGAAAAAGGTGTCATTGTAAGAATGCCTGACGATACTCTGCTATACTCATAGACTAGTGTCCAGCTCAGTGGTCATCAGAGAGGCTTCATCCAGCAGCTGGTGAAAACAGATACAGACCCACAGGCCTGCTGAAGAGAGGATTGTCTGAGCCAGAGGTGTCAAAGATACCACAAGAAAACCCACAGAATCAACTGACTTGGGCTCACAGAAGCTCACAGAGACTGAACTACCAACTAGGGAGCCTGCATAGGACTGACCTAGGCCCTCTACAAAAGAGTGACAGTCGTATAGCTTAGTCTTCTTGTGGGACTCCTGCACAGTGACTTTCTGGCAAGCTACACTCAATGAAACCCATGATTCCTAGGCCACATTTACTATCTGATAGTAAGGTATTATCTTTCTTCTTCTGTAACAACTTGTGCTTGATGGCTGGTGGCTCTCTGACCTTTGAGGAGAGGCATTGTCAAAACATCCTACCTGTCCCCACAGAGGCCCCTGGTGATCTGGCAATACCTCAGTGTTCACCAGCCTATAGCCTGAGTAGAACGGGTTCAGTCCTTTGATGTCTATGATGGCAGTCAATAGCTGGGCATCACACAGTGTTCCTGGGCCTCCAGGCAGTACCATCTCGTTCCAAACCTACCACACAGGGAAGCACATATTGATTGGAAATATCAAAAAGTCCCTAAAAGCTCTGTTTTCAGCGTTCCATAAAGGACTTCTACTTCCTCTCATAAATT